CACTGGTTCAGATATTATTTTTATTAAAAAGTAAGACTATCATGGGATATTTTATTTCATCATTTAAGCCACCCGTTTAACTTATTTAAGTCATTCACAAGAGCTCAATGCCAATATATAAAAGTGTGCCATAAAAATTCTAATGAAATGTCTAGTTACCCGGCCTTACCTCCTCCTTCATTCCGTGTTCCCCCACGCTCTCCTGCAAGTTCCAAGAGGATGCTCCGAGTTCACAGAACTGATGGGTGCTTTCCGTGTCTGCTTTGATCATTTTTCTCCTGTCTGGAGTGTTCTGATTGCCTTTTCTGCCACACAAAAAAGGGGGGTGGATATTATACAATATTTGGCTTTCTCTGTCTGACTTATCTCACTTAGCATGTCCCCAAGGTCCACCCATGTGGTAGCAAATGTCAGGATCTTTCTTCTCATAGTGTGTGTACACCACATCTTCTTTAACCATTCACGTATCCATGGACACCTAGGTTACTTCCATACTTGACTACTGTGAATAAAGCTGCAACAAACATGGGAGTGCAGATATCTCTTTGATAACCTGTTTTCGTTTCCTTTGGCTGTATGGGATGGCTGAGTTGTATGGTAGTTCTAGATTTAAATGTCCGAGGAAACGCCATACTGTTTCCCACAGTGGCTACACCAGTTTACCACTTTACAATCCCACCAACAGTGCACAAGGAAACAAAATAATTTTATCATGTAAGTATGCAGTATTTGGGACATAATTTATACTAAAAAATTACTGTTTATCTGAAGTTCAGATGTAAGTGGGCATCTCATACTTTATCTGGCAATCCTCCCTGTGGGGACCTGGTCAGGCGGAGGATTTGGGTGAGGCAGGAGAGACCTCCTTTGGCTTGCTGTCAACTTATGGGTTTAGTTTGGGACCACACTGTCAGCCTTGATGATCTGGGGCTCAGATACAGACGGAAAGCCTTCTTGACATCTGTGTGACCGCTGAGCAGGGGTGAAGCATGGGGTGTATGGGCACAAATGAGGCTGGTATTGAAAACAAACCCCAGCTCTCCCCAAAGCCAACAGGGAACATCCAGGAGCCAGGGAAGTGGTGGAGGGGGCAGCCAGGTAAGACACAGCAGGACAGAGCAAAGGAAGTGACCAAGTGTGGCCAGAGTGGGGATGAGAGTCCATCAAAGCAGGGACGTGGACCACGGGCAGAGGTTCTCACAGAGTCTAACTGCCCCTTTCTCTGGGACAGTGGGCTCCAGACACTGTGGAAACCACACGTGCAAAGCCCAGAGAGGAGGCACCAGCCAGGGCTCGGGCTCTAGTGGAGCAGAGCCGAGCTCAGTCCACAGGGCAGAACAGGCAGGCGGCAGGGGCAGGGAGGGGTTAACAGCAAGCAGGTAGGGGTTCTGCCTCTATTCACCCCTGGCAGAGAAGCAGGCAGGGCTGCACCGGGATCCCAGCCTGAGGGAGTGAGAGAAACTGTCTGCCACCTCCACTGTGACGGAAGAGAACTTTCAATGGGCTGGCAGCTTCTTTGTGGACAGCCCCTTAGCTTCACCCCAGGGCATCCCAGGACCAAGGAGGCCTTGGCCTTCAGAATCAGACACGCACATTAGCACATGCCCTTAACAGTCATAGCTGTGTCCCTGGAGGAATTCCAGGCTCAGGATGGCATAGGACTCTCTTTTCTCCCCGCTTCATGGAACCACCAGCCGCCTCTGATCTGGCTGAATCCAGCCTCGTGTCCATACTGGAATTTCCCATCATGAATCTCCCCACACCGCCCCCCACTACATTCTTCTGGGGCCCCCACCATCCTCGGAAACATCCAAGCCTACAGCCTGGCATACTCGTGAACCGGTCAGCCTCGGCTTCCTCCCACCTCACCAGGGAGCCTGGTTCCGGAACACTGTGAGTCAGCTTCTCGGGTTTCTACAGAGCTCTCTAAAGAGGCTTGATCTTCCGGGTCCTACGGCCTGGATGCGTGCTGTTCCCTTGTGAGCAATGCCCTTCTGGAAGTCCTCCTGTATTTAATTAACCTCAGATTATAGCAGGAGTACAATACATTCTTCCTAGACTCTTGCAAACACTTTGGAAGGGCCCAAAGGCTCTCCCACTAAAGGCTTGTGATGCTGGTCCCCAGCGTCCTGGGATGTTGGAAGAATGTTCCCTCAAGCCAGGATGCAGGCCTAAGAATTGGCTGTGGTTTGGGTTTCATTTTCTAAGAGATTTGACTGTCCAAGAAAAGGAGATGTTCTCTGGAGTTTTCAGCTTAACGTGGCCCCAGAATGGGGCAGAGGAGGAGGTCTGGGCAGCATCCACTCTGCTCCCTCCCAGGGATGGGTGGTGGGCTATGGGCTCTTCCCCCTCACTGGATCAAAGAGAGGATGAAATTCAGGTGGAGTTCTTGGCAGGGTGACTTTGATCC